ATGAACATGTGGTCGGACCGTCTTGTGGCTAATTCTACTTCCAGGTCAGAGTAATACGAATATACTTGATTTTTTCAAAGTTGAATAAGGATGGCCTTATTTTAATTTGTTTCATATAATATTTAGTTGTATTTGTGTCAAATTTGAATATTTAATAAGCAAATTTTCAATAATTGAAATAAAAAAATATTTTTCATTTTTTTCTATACACCTTTTTTTTGCAGTTCATAATCCGTACGTGATTGATTTATAATGATGGTTTGGAATATTTGCGAATAACGACTGACTGTCAAATAACTGATGAATGTTGAAGATATATTACGTAAACAAGGTAGAAATCTCCATTTGCAAGTAAATGTATAATATTGTTTTCCAATGTAAATATAATGCTCTGTTGAGGCATTTAATACATTTAATTTTTAGCAGGCAAATGTACAAAAGCTTGTAAGTTTTTTTACAATATGTGTTGATAATTCACGTTGTGTTATTCATGAATGATTAACATGTTCCTTTATTCTGAATGTATATTTGTCAATAAATAAGCATTGTGCGGATTTATGGTGTTATTAATTACATGTACTTTGCATCCTTTGCAACTTTTACCGCCCTTTCAATTCATGCCAGACTAATATTGTATTAAATAGCCAAGTATTGTCGAGTATAGTGGTCAATTGACATGAATGTTCCGGTCTGATTAAAAACAGATTTTTCTGAGTGGTAATATAAAAACACCAGAGACAATAAAATGTTAAGCCCATCAATCTAATGACTCCACATTGACTAAGTCAAATTTAAAAACAATACAAAATCAAAACTTGAAATTTCTGTTGCAGAGGAATCTGATAGACTAGAAAATCAACTTGCCCCACTAAATTAACATTATCTCAACCAAGTAACAAATAGGTTTTGAATTGGTTACAACTAAGGAGTCTCTTTGAAAAAAACAAAAAATTACATAAATATTGAGGAAACCGTTCTTGAATTCACTCCACATATCAAACTGTTACTACTAACGTTAGAAGATACTTACCCCCTCCTTATGGATAAAAGCATCATTAAAGAAAATTGACAAAAGCAGAGAACTTGCAAACTCCAGTGAAAACAGCGATGAAGATTCAATCTAATACTCTTTTCAAATTCTGCTCTTGAAATGGCTAACTAGTGGAAAGAAGCAATAGTTTTACCAATTCCTAAACCAAATAAAGATATAAACAATCCTGTCAACTACAGACCAATCTCATTAACTTCCACCCTTTGTACACTAATGGCAAAGGTAATCAGCAGAAGACTAATATGGCATTTAGAACACAAAGACATACTATCACCATACCAAAGTGGATTTGGAAGAAATAGATCAACTATGGACCATCTCATCAACATCCACAGCAACATATGTGACACATTCTTAACAAACCAATACCTAGCACTAATCAGTCTGAATATAGAAAAAGCCTAAGATATATTGTGGAAGGACAAACCTTACAACTACTGTATGATAAGGGAATAGACGAATATATTTTAATCATCATCACCAACTTTCTTCGTGAAAGATTTCTCCAAGTCAAGTTCAATAACACCCTTTCTGACAAACACAAACTATGTAATGGATTACCCCAAGGCTCCGTCATCAGTGTTACTTTGTTCCTTATTGTCATAAATGATATAACTGAACTTATTCAGAAACCACTAAAAATATATACATTCGCTGATGATATCACCATATTAGTTAGTGGAAAAAAACCTAAAACTATTCAGCAACAACAACAAATCTCCCTCGATTCAATACAAAACTGGTCTAACAAAGTTGGTTTCAAATTCTCACAAATTAAGTCAAAATGCATCATCTTCAGGAAGAACAAGAACATCAACGTACAACTTTAGTTTACTCAATATAAATTCTCAAGCAATTAACAGTGAAAAGGAAATCAAGATTCTAGGCACGATATTTGTCAACAATCTGAACTGGCAACCACACATCAATGCATCAAAAAGTGAATGCCTTCTTAGAATGAATATCATTAAAGCTATTTCTTCAACTTCATGGGGTGCAGATAAAAATCTCTTGTCCACTTACAGAACCCTCATTCGTCCCAAAATAGATTATGGATCAATCATATATCAGTAAAAAATATATATACTAAACAGACAAGCCAATCCATACTAATGAATTGCGAATGGCAATTGGAGCATTTGGGACAAGTCCGGTCTCTGATATCCATGCTGAAGCCGGAGAAGAGCCCCTTCACATTAGAAGACTGAAAATAACTTTCTCTTATGCCAGCAAAATCTCGTGTTCTTCCTGTATAACACATAAGAACATATTCTCCTCAAGATATTCAGTTCAATACAAAAATTCCCCAAACCATCATATCAATTATTAAAACAATACCTCGATGAAATAGACTTCACATTTCCCCTGGTAAATCCTGATACTAATACTAAAAGACCTCCATGGCTTCCTTCCAAAATAACCATTAATACACGTCTTAATGAATACAGGA